GCCGTACTTGAATATCTCGGCTGATAGTCCTGTAGCTGTGGCTTTGTTGTTTTTCAACCGCATTATCACTATTCGTATCTCGTTATAGTCAGGCGGTGGGACATCGACTCCATGGTTATCTACTATCAGTGCTGCTGCCATTCAATAGGGTGGAAAAGTGTTTCCTCCATAATTTAAGTACGCTCTGGACATCGGTCACTGGACCGCCGGCGATGTTTTTACAGGAGATCGCTCTGGTCTTGAAACATTTCTTAAGTCGACTGGTGCTCGATAAAAATAATAGCCAGCATTTCAAGCTCTTATTGCGGCAAATACGTCTCGCTTCCCTCTTCAGATCCTTATAGTAGGCCCACAGAGCTCGCGTTGCTCCCGATCGTAGCGTGGCCCTGTAGGCGGCGCATTTTTTCTCTGCAGCTCCCTGACACTGCTCATGATACCAGTTGTTCTTTCGGATCCTTCTTTGTCGGCATTACTTAAAGAGCGGGAGGTGTGGTTCCACCGATCTTGTATGTCGGTTTGTTGAAGAATGCTCTTAGAGGGCAGGTGAGAGAATAGAGTGGCATATAAACTTGCCGTCTGTTGTGACTGTTGAGCCTTTCTTGAATTTTTGGGGAATATTTTTTGCTGCACAGAGGCGGGTGCGTATCTTGGCTGCAACTCGATACTGGTCCGAGTCGGTGTTTGGCCCTCGGAGTGTACATAGTACATCTCAAACACTAGAAGCATGTCTTCTGTCTATCACAACATAGTCGATTTCTCGTTTTTCGATCCGGAGGCAGGCCGTTATCAATGGTTTTTTCGTGGAGGCTGTTTATTACGCAGTGGCGCCAAAGGTTCCTTCCTTGCCACCTTGGCATTGAAATCGTCAAGCATGATTTTTATATCATGTCAGCGGTAGCGCTCATATGTACCCTCCAAGCGCTCATCGAAGTGATCCTTGGACGCCTCGTCATTTTTTTCCGCCAGAGCATGGGCACAGATAAGCGAGATGTTGAAGAATGTACCTTCGATGCGGATTGTGACTAAACGTTCACCGGCGTGATTGCCAGTACTCGGCGATGGAGTCTCTGTCCCATCACATATCCAACACGGAATTTGGGCTCCTTTACGTGGTACCTGTAGTAGTGTAGTCGAAAGGATTCACGCTTACCTTGCCTTGCCTATCCAGTTCTTGGATGGCGGTGATGTCAGCCTTTGTCTTCCCGAGGAAATCAACCAGCCGGACAGAGACACCTTCCCCATTAAATGTCCGGCTGTTCCATGTGAATACCCTGAAATCATAGTCCTTTATACGTTTGCTAAATCAAGCTCACGTGAAGTTTTACGCCTTCTCACTTTACCTTGCTGCCAAGTGGGTGTTTGGTCGGTACCCAGAAGATACGTGGCGATGAATACCCGGACGTTGTGGCCTGCAATTGGAAACGTTAGTAGTCAAAAGCTTTTCCCAATGACTGTTCACTGCATTTTCTATAAATACAATTTAGCCGACTATAGCGTAGGACATACAATCCCAACCCATAACTCCACAACCGTTGAAATTAACCGTCGTCTGGATGTGTTTTTGCTTAAGTTCTGTACCCTCTTTCCTCCAAACCAAGGCATGCTCATCAGTCGAATTTATTCTCAACGGAAATATAACCATGTTTAAAAATTCTACTCCCTCGTTCATATACTCTTTAACAAACAAATTCGCTTCATTTGGTTTTCCTGCAAACCTTGGCTTTGTTACGGGCGGAGCTTAACATTCTGTGGAAGTACGAGGGTTTATAACACTCGCAGATATCTCCTTCACTACTGCTGCAATTTCATCTTGATAAGCGAGTTAGAGTACACCATGTAATATCAAAAAGAAGATTCATACCGCCCTGTGCCGCAGAAAAAAATCATCCAGCATGCAAGGAAATCTGAACTTCGAAAAGATGAAATCAAAACAGTCGGCCTATTTATTCATTACTCGACTCTCAGAGAGCGCTCCACAAATCGTAGGAGAAGCTCAACAAAGTACTAACATAAATATTGTGTAATCGTCAATCTATTAATATTATTATAATTTCTTGAAGCAGAATTCGAAAGTGAATTTTATTCTAAAACAATTTCCTCAAATTCCGGGTTTATTTTATAATCGTAATACAGTTGCGTTCCGTAAAAAAGTATGGCCTTGGGCTTCCCAACTTCACAGAATGTTAGCACTTTGAAATAATTAAAAACATACATAAATTCACATAAATTTAAATGATGCGATGCGCTGAGGGTATTTATTAAATGACCGTAAAGAGGAATGAATTCATAAAGAAATTATAAAAAAAAAACTAAACAATATTTATTATGTACGCGAAAAATTCAAAGAAAGTGAAATCAAACAAAAAAAAGAAGTGTGTCAAATGTGGTCATGATAAAGAACAAATAAGCATATTTGGCCGATGCAAAGCTGCCCTGTAGGGAAACCGCGGACTAGTGAATCTAATTTCTAGTTCCGTACTAGGTCTTTATCGCCAAAAACGAACTAGTCCGATATGAACTAGATCCCCACCAGTCCACAATCGGCGAAAAGTGGTACTTTTAAAAAACTAATTTTTTTCAGTTTTTTTCACTAGAAATCTATATCTAAAGTGACGAATTTAGAAATAGTTCGGAACTATAGAAAAAGGTGACGAATTTAGAAATAGTTCGGAACTATAGAAAAGGGATGCAGAACAAACTAGATCTTATTTGTCGAATTTAGAACCAGTTCGGAACTACCGAAAAAGGGATGCAGCGGGGGGCTTGTTTACTTTACATAGGTATGTGTTCGGCGGCTTTTTCGTTCAAATTCGCTTCTATTCTGTGCTTCGCAGATGCTTTTTCATAGCTTGGTAATACAAAAATAAAATTTGTGTTAACATTTCAACATCTTGGGACAGTCTGGAATCTAAGAAATAACAGCGAGCACCTCTGCAAATTGAGCTACTGCTAAAGGTATGTAAACGTACATTTCTTACAATCATTCAAACAAATTTAATTTCAAATTGAAAACACATTTCTTCCAAAATAACTTAAAATCGCACACACGGAAGAACCAAAAATACTGAAAAATCATGATACTTTTTTCTTTCGTCTGTCGATTTTAGAACTGGTTCGGAACTATAAAATTTAGGACTGGTACGGAACTATCGAAAAAGGGATGCAGCGGGGGGCAATTAACACTTCCTAGGACATCGCCATGTTAAATTCGCCAGTTGCTTGCATGCAAAAGAGATTTATCGCGAACCAGTACTGGGTTTAAATGTACTAGAAGCGCACCAGTTCAGAACTAGAAATTTTCCCACAGGGTGGTTTCAGTAACATTGACATTAAAGAGTAATTCAAATATTCATATGAACATATATTCACATATTTATATACATACATGCTTATATCGTCGTTTAAAGTGCAAAACCGCGTATCAGCAAAATGCAAAACCGCGTATCAGCAAAATACAAAACCGCATATGTGAAGTTGTATCAAAATGGTTCTCTTTTTTATAAAGCAATCGCATTTCTGGCTAGTATATTTCAGGACTAATGGATAAAGATTGAGCCAAGAGCTTGTGTGAGCAAATCCAATTTTTGGCAGCCAATGTCAGTTACGCGGTTTTGCAGAATGACGATACGCGGTTTTGTACTTTAAACGACGATATATAGGTACATATATAGTATATGTATACTAAAATGTTGTCAAAATTACACCCTTCATTCTTTGAACTCTGGTGAAGCTTATGGCGATTTCGTTTCTACAAAAAATGTTGCCTTCTCATCGCCCTCCTCTTAGTGTTTGTGCGTAGAGGGCAAGGAGAAGGTTGCATTTTTTGATAGAACTCAACACAAACTAAAAAAAAAGTTTAATACGAATATATACATACATACATAGTACTAGTATTTTGCGGAGCTCATTGACTATAAATGCCCAACTTTTTTCCAAATTTAAATTTTGCTTAGTTTCTCTTTAGCTTATAACTATTGTACTCGCATCATGATTTGTAGCGATCTAAGAAAGGAAAATAATATAAAATGGACGGCTTGAGGCTTTCAGAAACAGCTGCCTTAAAACCGTGTATAAAAGTTTATATAAATATTTCAGTTGTGAGTCGTGGATATTTCTGCATGATTCAGCACCATCAAATAAAGCCACAGTAAGTACACAGTAAAGCAATTTTTTAGCATTCTACGAGCACACACAATGTGAAACCTTCCGACGTCATTTCAATGTGCCTTTAGATATCTCAAACATTTAGTCTTCTACATGGTTTTTGACATCCTCAACATCATGTCAGTATTACTTATATGTCACCAAGGGTATCAGAATCTATAGCAGTAAGGAATTTTTACGAGTAATTCACAAAAAAACGCATTTAATTTGAAATCAATTTGAAACAAGTTATTTGTTTAGTTTACTTTTGATTTCATTTCGTTTTTTGCTAAACATGGTATCGAATTCAGAATTTACGTTTTCGCCCACCATCAACCTGTTCCGGCACTAAATGCCATATTTGAGGAGCGCTAGTGTCATTTATTGGCGCGTCGCGGTCATATAGAGTTCACTGCACAGTCCAACGGACCACTACAGCCTGCTTGTTGAACAAAGTGCGCCGCGCATGCGGCGTACGGCATCGTTTGCATTTAGGTGTAAAGTTCTGGGCACTTCCCTTATTGAAATATAAAAATTAGCTACATAAGTACATATGTACATACAATGTTTATACAAACAAAATATTTGTTTGACCATACATATGTAATATGCTAAGAATTTACGGGTAATCAACCACATTCCGTGGTGCATTTCACTCAAAACCAGATCTGCGGGTTTCACGTTGAATTACCTTTTCTTTCAATTCGGTTCTGTGATCTTTGCTGATCGATTAGGTAATGAATACTTCGTTTGATTTTTTATTATTTTTGTGTTTACCTTAAAACGTTTGATCAACAGCTGAGTGTTGTTGTACATACATAAGTGAATGTATTTCAGTGTGGTTTGATCCAGGTTTTTGTGTACAAAAGTTAAAAGCCGCTGGAAGTCGTAGTTAGACGATATACAGTTCTGTTAGCATCAACAACTCAAAAAACAGACGAGTGCTCAACGGCTGCTAAAATAAAATTAAAGGAATAAGGAAATAAAATTATAAAGGATTCAGAGAATTCAAGGATATATTTAAATTCAAATATATTAATATATAATAGTATTGTGTTAAAAGAAGATGATGAAAACGGTAATTTTTTAATATATTTGTTTTTGATTTACAGGTTTATTATAAACAAAGACAAAGAAAATTACTTATAACTCTTCGAAATAAGTAGTTCCCATTACTTGATATCATTGAAGCTTACTGCGCGGATATCATGAAGAATTAATAATTTTTTTCTGTTACGGCTTCTGTCCACAATTTAATTAACGCGACTATTTGGAAGAGAATATTTTCACATTTTACAATTATTTAATACTTCACTATTTAAATATTGTTCTGAATTTTTGTGTTGTTTTGGTATTTTGAAAGCATTATTGTCCTCTTTGAAGAGTGAAGCCAGTTTTTATAGCGCTCTTTCATATTTATTAATTATTTTAAATTTTACATAAATGCCTTATTTGTATTTCCATTCACCTTTTATTTTTTAGTGTGCTTTGGTATTCCTGCTCTTCCTCTCAGCGTACCCCACCCGTGGGAGTCCTATATACCATCAGCTCGGAAAAAACAGTAAATTTAATACTGATCCATTGCTCACTTCCGCCTCAAATGATGTGCCGATGGTACAGAGCAATAACTTTGATATGGTTATGGCTGATGACAATTATCCCATGGAATCCATGCAGTATCAGAATTTCGAGAGTTTCCATGAACCTAAAATGGCAGAGAATACCGATTTTAGTATGGATGAATCACAGTTCCTACCCAGAAATACTCCATTGCGTGCGCCGCAGCCATTATCGAAGAAGGAACGTGAAATTCGGCAACTGATCGAAGTGGCCGATCCCAGAGTGGAGAAGAGGAAGATGCTTAAGCTGAAAAAGGGTTCTTCAGTACCTCGAGGTGCAGACGCTTATCCATGGGATCAGTTCGATTATGATTTGTATAGCGTGAACCCAGCGAATCAAAAGAAACATTAGGTGCTGATGCTTTTTCCTCGAAATTGTTATCTAGAGATGTGTGTATTTTGTTGTGATATTTTCTGTAAGATGCTTAATGTATACCCTATTTATTAAAAAAAAATAACTAACTAAATCAGTGCTTATTTATTTCATCGTCACTTTGATGGTAATTTTATAGTTAAAAATAATAATAACAAATAAATATAAACACATGGCGGTCGCTGTTGTGTAATGGTAAGTAGTGTGCGCTTCCACTCCGCAGGGCATGGGTTCAAGCCCATCGCAAACAAATTTAGAAAAACGTTTTTTTTTTAACAGAGGTCGCCCCTCGGCAGGCAATTACAAACCTCCGTGTATTTCTGCTATGAAAAATAGCTTCTATTAAAAAGTCAAGCGCCGTTCGGTGTTGGCGTAAAATTGTAGGTTGTACCCCCCACGCCACCAATCGGAAAAGAAGCTTTGCCAAACACTAACATATGTGTAAGTGCCAATCTATTCCCTGCAAAAAGTGGGACTAATCCGGGATGACTCCGGGAGCAATCGCAAAGGAACATGCGACTAATACCACTTTTGATCTCTTTATATGGAATGAACTGTTCGCATTTGTTCGAGCATGTCCTATGAAGAGACTAAGTGTTCACCTTTATACTCGAACGGGTATAAAAAGCGACTAGTTACTTTTAAAAAATAAAAATAAAAATTTGCGCCAGCTGAGATTCGAACCGGGTTGCTCAGTTTGGTTAGGCGAATACTCTCTCTGTGTGCCAACGCCGCACATGAAATTTCATTGACTAAGTGCGTACAAATCATTAAATCGTTAATAGAACCTGTTAGAGATGAGTTGGGGACTAATTGATCTCCAATTATACCCATAAGGGATTAGTCGAGACTAATTGACCTCCATTAGTACCCGTATGAGACTAGTTGCGACTAATTAATGCCCAATCGTACCCGATTGAGAGTAATCTCAGAATACTCTCTTTAGAGATTAGTCGCACAATTTTTTGCAGGGTTATTATTATACTACATACATATGTATATATATGCGCAACATCGCTCTTTTGCAAGTGTAAGTTAGGGTACATTACGGGTGCAGGGTACAGTGAAAAACTGAACTAGTATGCACAATTTCCAGGTCATGAACTATTATTTAAGGTGGAAGTCATACCAGTCAATCATGGACTATAATTATACAGATCTCTTCGGACAACACATGCGTTCAGTGACGTCTGCCTTTGAATTGCCAAAGGCTAAACTAAAATGCAGTTATTCGCTTTCTTAACAGATGTCGGCTATGGCGTCGAGTGCTCTCAGGTTCGAGTCCGCTTGGTGGTGGTTAAAGCAAAGTAAGTCAATTATTTTAACTTAAATATATACTAAAAATTGTAAATGTATGTGTTCAAGCCCATTTTCCGATCGAAAATAAAAACCAAAAAAGTTTTTTTTTTTAATACCGGTAATCTCCGCATTATCTTCGTTTTCGGACTTGTGTATAAGTTAGCTAAATTCGAATTTTCAAACAGATGGTAGCTCTCCTAAATGAAGCAAAGTAATAAACAAGTCTCTTGCGTCTGACATGGCGATACTTATTTAAATTATCTGATGAACGATAATATAGTTCAAAGTTAAAACCTTTTTAGCCCCATTTCAGGTATCAACCTCTATTTTTATAATTCCTTTAACTTATTAAATAATTTGAGTTTAAATTTTTAACCCTTTCTAATGATCTAAATGTTCACACTAGAGATTTCTTAACATTAATTTTATTAATTGACGCCCATATTTTAGTCATATAAATTATGTATACTTCAATTATTTTGGAGTTTTCAAACAGGTGGCCATCCTGTTTAAATTAATTTCAAACTAAATCCCTGCTAAAGAGTTTTCGTCTGACACCCATATTTTGATAGTCAATTTAACAAACTCCCTTAATTCAAGTTGAATTTCGATTTAAAAAAAAGATGGAAATTCTTCTAAATGTGGTTTAGAAATAAAGTTTTCTTCAAAATCATTTAGATTCATATCTAGTGATTTATTTATCCTATTGTAAATATAAAATTTAAGGTTTATGAACAGGTGACAAATCTGTACAAAATATTTAAAATCACAAATTTTTTAAAGTGCTGGCTCCTACGTTTTGTTACGTTTTTCAAAATCATTTCGATCGATACCCATAATGTTATAATTGACTTAACTTATTAAATAATTTGAATTTAATTAATTTTCAAAGTTCAAAGTTCCCGAATTATTGACGAAATCTTTAGGAGTATCTCATTTCTGTATCGATTTTTTTACGAAGCTTCAAAAGAAAATTATATGAAGTGGTTGACATGAACTCGTATAGAAATTTCTGTACGAAAAATAAAGAAAATTCTGTAAGAGATTCTTCACATGACAGCATTATTTTCATTGCTTTATTGATTTTCTTCTGAAATTTCGTAAAATAATCGAAATGTGCACAGTTTATTACATTTTAGAAAATTCGGCAAAAAATCGGATGAGATCTTAACGAATTCCTTAAAATTTCTCTACGGTTCAGAATACTCTGAAAAAATGGTTTGCAGGGAGATCACGCAATCAGTAATCGTTGTATTTGTAACAGTGATGGAAAATCAAAATTTAAAATTGTGCCGAATTTCTCCGGAAAAATGTGCCTAAATGCAGGTCAATGTGTCAATAAATTGAAAGTCGTCGATAGGTACCATTTCCTTTAATAAATATATTTACAGTACTTTTTGCATATAAGAAAAACAGAAATCTCACGGAAAACCTTTATTTAGTGCAACAACAACAAAACCATAAAAATTAAAGTTTAAAACTTTCTACAAAAAATGTTCATTCAAATTTAAAACTTTGTTGTCAGAAATTTTAGAAACATTCGGGTATGCAGTTTTATAGTCCATTAAATTTTGGATTTACAAAGTGCAAGTGCGGATAAGAACTCGCGTTGATTTGTAATATTTTTTTTATTTTTTTTTTGCATTTTCTTAATACATATTGGATATACAAAAAATTTGAGTATGGAGGAAAAAGTGCAACACCTTCAACGAAAAAAGTTATCAAAAATCAACGCGAATTGAATGGACTATAAAACTACATACCTGAAAGTATATGTAGTTTTCAAAAACGAACCAAAATCATCGCTAAGTCATTTATCCCGAATTACGAATTGTAAAAACACAAATCATTAGTCCCCTTTATTCCTAAAGTATTTGCAGATAACATAACAAACGTTTTTATTTCCCATTTAGCATGCAGATGTGCTCGAAATGTTAGCGAAAAAAATATTAAAAATCAACGGGAACTCTTAGCGACTTGCAACTTGCACTTTATTATACTAAAATTTAGTAATCTATAAAAATGTATACCCAAAATTTTTATAAAAACTATAAACAAAAAGAATACTTTTGGTAACATTTTTTTATAACATTTCAAATTATTACTTTTTAATTTATTTTTTGTTTTAGGAGAAACCTACAATTGTTTTTAACTAGTTTTTATTATGAAACTTTTATTAGCAGGAGAATCGGTATTTTTCAAAATTGGCGCAATTTCTGCACTTTGCACTAAAAAATTGAATACAAACAAATAAAAATTCGAAAATTGGGCTAAAACAGTCTCTTGCAAATATTATTAGCTTTCATTTAAAAAAATAATTAATCAAATCGGTTGAGACATGAAGGCCTGGAGCCTTTGAATTATGAACATTAAAATCCATTTATTGACCACTGTGCAGCGGCCGTTGATCGACATAATTAAATAATCAATTATTACAAGCCTTTATTCTTTGTTTTAATTTTAAGAGCTAAAAATTGTCCAACTATAAACACTTTTTGATAACAAACAGCAGTGTTGCCAGAACTTTTTGGACGAACCGGCTAAATTGGCAAATAAAACCGGCTAAAAACGGCTAGTTACAAATTTGAGCCGGAAAAAATTTTGCCAGCAAGAATTTGCAATTAGGAAAAACATATGATTGTGGCACATGGTTGGATTTTTTGTCGACGATTTTAGAAAATTTTTAAAATGAAAAATGTAAGTTAATACTTATTTACTTTATTAATTTAGTCAATTCCAATGATTTGAAAGGTACCCGGCAAAAAAAAAAAAACTGTATTCTTAATCGGAATGCAATCTCAACCAGAGTCGATATAGTAAACACGACAAAGAAATTGAAACATATGTTGAAGAAAGTCGGACTGACAAGATATATAAACATAGATCCTCTTGTTTGCCCCTCTGAAAGAATTTTAAAAATTCTATACAAATTTCTTTTGTTGCAAATGCAACCGTGGACACTAGCTGGCAGAAAAATTTGCAAATTTGCGTTCGTACAGAAAATTGTAAGTTTCTCTACATGAGAGAGAATTTGGGAGCATTTTTTCTTACTATGTGATATTTTGAGTGATAATTCTCGCTGGATTTTCGACGAACAAACCTATTGTCTTCCCTACAAGGCCTTTTCAGACTGACCGATTCTCAATACACTCAAATAGAAACCAATACACATAAAAAACGCTGTAAAAATTTCCCTTCAATTTTAAGGCAGTAAAACAACGACCCTAAGTCAACATCAAACGAAGCCATATGTTGACAAGGGATGCAAAATCACAGTTACACAAAAGAACTGGTCACATTTTTCAGAAACCCCTTCAATTCTGATGCCAAAAGACTGCACATCTCTCATTTAGATGACCGGTCATATGACCGGCAGATGTCTCGTAGGATTCCCAGAGAGTTTTGCTTTACATAGAAATTTGTGCTCTTTTATTTTCATTTTGACTCACTTCAGTGTTGGTTCCTTTAATTCAAGTTGGCATTCGGTTTTTGGAATTTAAATAAGTTCTCAGCAAAAAAGTTTGTTTGAAAAAATACATATGTGTACATAGTGCTGGAAAATATCAATTTTTCCCTTACCTTAAACCTTTAGGAGTGGGCAAAAATAATGTTTTGTAATTTAGGCAGAATTGAATATGCGCTATCTGGGAAGACAATATCTACATGTAATATTTATTCTGTTTGTTGGCACTATATCCAAACACAAACGCATCTTAAGTGTCTTAACAGTGAAACAATTTCTTATTTTCTAAGTTTGCGAATAAAACTTCACACTTAAAATTAAGACATTTATAA